TTATAAAAGTAATAGCTAATACTTTATTCAGATTTTTTCTTTTGAAAAGACAAACATCATTTCTTTGAAGCACAAGTTTACGACAATCGTGCACGATGTCGAAAAATAAATGTAGCAAGAAAAGTTTCGTAGCATTATGGAGAAATAATTCAGAGAGGTCCAGAAAATAACTAAATCTATTCAAGGACAAGAAATATTAAATGTGAATATAAATACGTATGTTTAGTGAATTCTTCTAATTGAGTATGAAGCCTTACACCTGAGTACATAGTAGTTACTTTAAAATTTTTCTACAATACCATACAATCGGTCTTCATTTTGGAGCTTGTTTCTACGACGTGTTTTGTTATTTGACGATGAATATAGTTTATACTTTTTCGTAAAATTGCAATAAATTCAAAATTTGAACGTAAACATTCAATCACTGTTTATCAGCAAGATTATCTGTGAATTCGTTTCATGAGACAAAACTTTACTTTTCACATGCAACTTGATCCTGGAACGATATGTTGCTTTCTCCGTTGCATAGTCACGTCTTATTTTCAGATGTTTTAATAAAAATAATAATCATATGTTGTGTCCGAAAGAATATGAGTGTTTATAAAAAAATTTTTTCTGTTTAGTGGATATCTTTTGTTGGTTCGATGATTCACGTAGTCGTTTATTTGCAACCTTTCGTACGAATATATCTATGTTGGAAATCAAACCTGAAATAAAAAATCGTATTATGACTCATGATCGATCAATTGTTGCTGCACGATATATTGTTAAACAAAAACAAGTATTTATTCATTTTTATAGAAAAGAAAACTTGTTTAAACAAATTAAATATATAATTAAAGGTGATGATTGTTTGTCAAGGTGGTGATGTTAGTTTTTGGTCATTGGAAGGACAAAAAACTAAACGATTTAGTGAACAAAATCCTGGAGAACATTTTGATACGACTTGTTTAGGTTTTGATGAATTTGGTGAAAAATTTTATACAGGTGGAAGTGATGGAAAAATTCGAGTATAATATTATTCTTTGTTGAAATCAATTATATACTCAATTTAAATATAGATTTGGAATTATAATGGTCGAATTTTACAAACACTAGATGCAGGTAAAGGTACAGCAGTAGAAATAACGCAAATTGAAGCAATAAAACGACGTATTGTTGCTGTTGGGTGGAGCAAGTAAGAGAATAAAGAAAAAAATTAGTTAAGTTCTATAATAAAATTATTTGTAGATATTTGACTGTGTTTCGTGATTTACAACAAATTGAAGGACGACCAAGTGTTCCAACAGACTGGAAAGGTGAAAAAGATAAAACAGAAGTAAATATATATATATATATGTATATTTTATTCATCAAATTATGAATATTCAATATTCTTAAAATAGGGACATGATGATGATATTGTATGCATGGCTGTAACATCATTTTTTCCTCAATTACTTGCATCGGGCAGTACTGATGGTGAAATATGTATATGGAATACATCATCAGAATTATTTGTTCGTCGTCTTGATCAACGAAAACGCAATCCAAATGATACTCAAGCAAAAGTAGGCAAAGATTTTATTTATTTATTTTTCTTGCTTTTGCTCTTCTATGCTATTTCTTATGCTTTATTAATCAGTTACAAGACAATGCAGCTGATTTTGCTATTACAATGTTAAGATTTCTTGATAAACGCATGGCAACGAGTATAAATAATAATTTAATAGGTGCTAATCTATTATCATGTGGTGGTATAGGCTTTGTTCGCTTTTGGAATGTGCATACAGGAAAGCTTCTAAGCGAATTTCAAGCACATATTGATGGTATATCGATAATTGATTCGTAATTGATTTTATCTTTTGATTTTTATATTTTATCATAGTTTCAAGTGTTATTATGGAAATTGATATGCATAATAAATATTTAGGAACAGGTGATGTTAATGGTGTTGTTAAACTCTGGGATATAGAACAATATTGTCTTCAATCTGATTCAATAACAGTTGGAAAAATTTTACCACGTATGTAGCATGTTATAATTTGCTTTATGTTTGATCTTCAGTTGTATGATGTTTTTCTTTTCATTATTTTATTAGCTTTACTTGCGGAATTTACTTCACATTCAGATTCTATAACATGTATTGATTTCTTAGAAAAAGATGAACGCATGTTTATATTAACATCATCATCAGATTGTAGTGTTGTTTTATCAGATATAAATGGAAATCCTTATGGTACATTTGGACAACCAAATCAATGGCGTGTAGATATGGATTTATCAAAAATACATGATGAAAATTCACAAACAGGTCTAAATAAAGGTGATGATGAATCTCAAGAAGAAAATTCTAAACAAAGTGATGAAGAATCTCAATCAGTATTAAGTCAAGACATTGATGATATGTCGTCAATAACAGAGGAAGAAATGTTAACAAGACGATCCAATGTTTGGGAATCAACTTCAATTGGTAAATTAAAGCTAGTAACGTTTCCCCACGAAATAGGTTTATTACTTAGAACACTCCATTAGAACTGAAATTGTGGTCCTAATGAACAACGCTTCTATTATGAATTTCAGCTCTATGCGATAAACTAGATCGAACTTGAGGCTAATTTATAGTCTATTTATGGTCTCAAGAATAAGCCCTATGACTTCATCATTGCAATGATGACAGAACTCGGGGTATTTTCAAATGTTCGACAAAAGTTTGCTCTCATTTAGACTTTTACAACAAAAAGAAAAATATTTGTTCTAATTGGAACTGGATGAGAGGAATTTCAATTTTTCTGATTGAAAACCATGTTCCGAAAAGAAAAATCAATAAATAGATTTAGATATGCACTGTTCCGTTCAAATCCGAAAAAAAAGACATTATAATCGCATATTCATAGTATATTTCAGCGTAATTTTTTTAAGCAAGTAACAGATGACGACATAAGCTAGCACTATCTGTTATAATTGAATTATACAAGAATGTTTTTTGAATGCTGATGCAAATAAGAAGGCAGTCTTCCCAAAACTGAAAAGCTTTAAAAAGTGAAAAAAAAGAATATTATTGAATCAGATGATCACCTTTCCTTTGTAAAGCCACCCATACTGTTTTCTAGAGCAACTCTTGGTACATGGAATGATATATATGTGAGACTGATTTTTCATCAAAGTGTTAGCAATCTGAGAAGCTATATATCAGTTAACGAATATTATAGCAATTGTGGGTGATATAACCAAATATTAGAACTTAGTATGTCTCCAAAGTAATCTATATAAAGTTTTCTTTAAAGTTATGTCATTAGAGTTTTGTCTAGTCTACAACCGTGTATATCCAGTAATAGTCACAATAGTTTTCTTATGTGGATAGACTATGATAAAGATTAGTTTGTATTTTTTTTCCTTACGAATTGAGATTATGATTAGCTGGTTATGATTACAATATGAAGCACTATCAAATTCAATATACTTTTACTCTCTTATGAGAACTAAAAATTTCACATGTCTGTCTATCCTTCTAAGTATTTGAAAGAGACAAAATTTTTGCCGTTTTTGAAAGATCCATATATATGGTAAACGATAGGTCATAATGAACTTATGATTAAAAACTAAAGTACATTGCTGCACTGAGAAATCGAAAAATTCGCTTTTTTTAGGTATGGATTGCGTATAACATTACAGAGAACAATTAATTGGTATATTTATAGAAATACGGAGCACACAACACATGAGAAAGTTCTATGGGTAGTCGGTTTTGCCTTCAGGAGCACTAGAAAAGAATTAGAAACATCATAAAATCCAAAAATTATAGAAGCTAAGAAAAATGTTAAGATTATGCATACGAAGAATGCTATTATGAGTGTCATTCTATATATACGGTTGATGACAAGACATAGTAAGTCTAAATATTTCATCATATCACTCATAATTGCTATAATATTCGTTAACTGGTATATACTATCTCAGATCGCTAAGTCTTGATGAAAAATTAATCTCACATCTATATCATTCAATATACCAAGAGTTGCTCTAGAAAATAGTCTAAGTAGTTTTTCGAATCAAGGCTATTCATCTCAACTGACAGAGCCCTTATTTTCGAGAAACCATGTATATTGTGAGAAAAAAATTTAGCTACATTGTTCTATCATGAAAGCTAAACTGTGATTTTTTAATTTTTGAAAAAAATTCTTGTTTAAGGTGTAACATATCAAGAAAAACGAACTAATCGAAGACAACGTAATCAACCCAGTTTAATTACGAAAAAAGATTATTTATTATGGGAAAAAACAGGTTTAGCACCCGGTGGAGCATATGGTGTAAGTTGAATTTCCGTTTTTTTTTCCGTTTTATTTTTGATTACTTTTAAAATGATTTCTATTTGAAAAGGCTCTTGATACATTTGAACCTCCAACAATACCTGACCAGAAGAAGACTGCTTATCTTGATACTACTTATTTATGGCAGACAAATAATTTAGGTGATAGTATTCGGCGACGTCCATTACCATCAATGATTGGCGAAAGTAAAAGAAAAAAAATGCATATATATTCTTTCACATCATAAATATCAAATTTTTTGTTTTTAGATTTAAAATCAGCTTTTGATGAACGTTCAATATTTCCAAAATATATTCTGGATTATGAAGCAAAACAAAAACAATTATTTGAATCAGGAAATCAACAACAAGCAACAAACATGACATCAATAAGTGGCATTAATACAAATTCTCAACCACTTGTACGTCAAACAGGTGATGCCGCTTTAAAATTTAAACGACAAAGTTCATCATCAACTCTTCTCAGTGATCAAAAAGCCCAGTGATTATTAACAAAATTTTGATTCGGTCAATTCTTTTTCTTTTGCTTTGAAACATATACATATATAGACGATTCCGGTGACGTCAGATTTATTGGAAAGAAAATAGAAGAGAGAAGAGTGCATTTATTTTATTTTATTTTATTTTTTCCTTTCAATAAAAATGTTCATAGTGAATGGTTTGCTTTCTTTTTGTTCTTTCATAAAAAAATTTAATTACTTAAATTTCTTGGATTGGATTGTATCAATATTGTTTTCTGTTCTTTCGATATGACAATCATATTGATTCCAGTATGAATAAGGGCAACAGTAAATGTAACCAAAAGAATTACTTTTAAAGTACTTGCTAAACTATCATCACAATATAGTGACGATATTGAAGTACATCGAGCTGACAGCGAATAATCAACGATAGAAAACGTGAGTCCCATTGTAGAGAAGACCAAGGTAAATATATACAATCGCATTAAACCCAACAATGGAAAAGATGGTCGAAATCCAATAATCACCATAATACTTCCTCCAAAAACAAGAAAAATACCTGCCCAAAAGCCATTATAATATGTTGAATAAAAATTCACAACAATAGCCAATTGTAAACTGAAAGCTATTATGCCCCATAGAGCATAAATCAAACCAGAAATGCATAAAAACGTTGCTAGATTACTTGTAATTGGTGTTAATAAATTATTATTCCGAAATCGTTGATGGACACGTGTAACAGTAATACCTTGTTGTTGATGTAATGGTGTTCGCCCAACATTTGATTTGCTTGATGCTTCATAACTGGTTCCATTAACTGATTGTTGAGGATATGGTAAATAAGGTGGTATTGATCCTTGATATGATCTTTAAAAAGAAAATCGAAAATCATCATTGAACAAAAACGAATCTCATGTCTACTGTAATGAAGTTACTTACGGATAGACGCCTTCAAAATTGTAATTGTTGTCTTTTTGAGTATAATCTTGCTTGTTCGAATCAGATTGCATTGTTATAATATTTAATGGTGAATAAATTATATTATTTATTTTTCACTTGTAGTGGGTATCAATGTAAAGTCTATTGTAGTCATTTTTATATTCTGTTTTCAACATTTGCTACAATAACATTAATGTAGCAAAATAGAATACATGACACATGTATTTATCGCACTTACTCATTAAAATAACAATGATACAAGATAGTAGATTTATTATCTATTTGTTTGACATTAAAAGTTTTGAATGGATAAATGTTCTTTAATCGCAGATATAGCGAAAGTACTTCGTGAGTCAATTAAAAAAGAAAATAATTTTTAAACAGATCAATATTAAAATAATCTTACTTTCATATCTATACTAAGTAATGATAAATTTAATGCTATTCATTTATCAACATTTTACAACTAAGATATGATGTCATTGCTGAGACTTATGACTATTCTTTTTTTATATATATATTAATGAAAAGAAGTATATAGATCCAATGATGATATCCATTTGAATTATGCTCATTGAAGTGTTTTTTTGCTTTTTAAAATTGGTAAGCATGTACTTAGATTTAATCAGAAGTTCTGACAGTATCATTGGCAATTTTATAGGCCAGAATTCCTTGTCTATAATATATATTATAGATCTATTTTGGGTTTAGTTCTAATATTTTTTGCGATAAAATTCAATTTCAACAATAACAAAAAAGAGTTTTGAAAAATGAATAATGAATTCAATCAATACTATATTAAAATTTGGGCTATTTTAAGAATAGATGCACAAACAAATCATGATGAACTTACAATAGCATTGGCACCTTACATTCAATGGTATTGAACAATTACAAGCTGGGCAAAACGTCTTCATTAAGAAAGAGAAGAGGTAAACCATGGATATTGATATGGTCATCCGTTTTCCGAGCTTACAGATATAAATATTGAATTGGTATAACGAGTTGACAACAATGATTATCATTGAACTTATTATAGTATTATAGCTTAGACTTGTCTCTCTTACAGTGCCACAGAACAAAATATCCACGATTATCTAAAGTTGAGACAATTCACATCTTGTTGGATCGATAATCAGCTCATTATTAAGTATTAAAAGGAACGAACTAGAATTTCTAGTGAAAAATCAGCGACATTTTGTAATAGTTCATAGCAATTATACAATATTATTACAGAGTGCCATACATGAATTTAATATAGACTAGTACACCGCAAGTCAACTAATGCTAACTACATTAATAAAGATGACTTGCTAACGACTATTGTTCACTAGGATCGTTTTGAACCGAAAACTTTATTTTGTATATGCTTTAAATCAAATGATCATGTTCTTATATATATAATGTGCTGATATTGATATAACCTTCTGCTGATCTTTCTTTCTTCTTTTCTCCTTCCTCTTTATTTTACGTGAATTGTCTTTTCTTATGTTCATCGCTCTCTCTCTTGTTCTCTTCTATATAAGCGTCGGTTGGGTGTGAAGCAGTTACATTCTGGACATATAAAGTAGCTAATAAACATCATTGCCGAGTGTCAGCAGTTAATCATCCAGTTTATCGTTACAGTCTTCTGTCAAGTTTTTTATATAAAGTTCTAGTACGATAAGCGCTTAACCGTTTTTTATTCTTATCAATATAAAATATTTCTTGCTGTCAGAAAAATATCGACGATTTTCAATTGATATTTTGCTTTCCAAACAAAAAAATGGTTTCATCAACAAGTCTTTTATTTGTAATATTCAGACAAAAAAAAACGTTTACAATTTTTTTTTTTTAAATGAAACACAAAATAAATGGATATATTATGCATAACAAAGTCGTCTAATAAACGAAATTAAGAGAAGGAGTAAGAGAACGAATAATTTCAAAAAAAAAGACAATAACCAAATCAATATATATACAATTTAATATAATAGAAGAAAAAGAGAAAAAAGCAAGTTAATCATCATCATCTTCATCACTCACTACTACAGCTGCTTTTTTCCGTGCAGTTACAGCAGCACCACGTTTTGATCGACTTATTGTCTGTATTTTCGGTTCTTTTCTTGTTGGTCGTTTAAAATCATTTTCATCATCATCATCATCATTTTCTTTTGCATCATCATCATCATCATCATCAGCTAAAAATCAACATAAATTCCTATGACATTGTGCTTTTACTTTTTTAAAAACTAAATCTTACATTGTGCTGCTTTTGCTTTACTACGACTTGTTGTTTGTTTACCTTTCTTTGCTCCACCAGCACGAGTATCTAATCAAAAAAAAAAATAAAATAACTTTTTTTTTATGAATAAAAGGAATTTTACGAGGGTCCTCCAAATGATAAATTGCTTTGGAGTCGAGATTATGTAGTATCAAAAAAAAAGCTATGAATACCTTGACAAGAGTTCATGCCTTTAGCTACTTGCTGCAGAGGTTCTGCATTTGTTTTGCATGAATGTTTTAGTCTCTCTCAAAAAAAACTAATTTTCGAAGTTCGACTTGAAGTTTTGTATTGAGAATGACCGTAATAAGAGCAGTTTATTGTGAGACTTGTAGAACTTTTGATTTACTTCTATCTTGAAATAAGAACATAAATCCGTCTGTTCATATTAGTGACTTAAAAGACACGATATTATTATAATTGTATCTTAGAATACGAACAATGAAACGATCTGAAACTGTAACAAAAAACTATTCTAGTTAAGACCTGTCTGTATATTAAATTTCAAATTGAAATTCGAAAATAAGTTTTTGTGAGGCAACGACCCAGCATTCATTAAAAAATTTTATCAGTGAACCTAGTTCATCAGAAAAGAACAGGTTCAAAGAACTGTGAGCTGTCACAGTTCAAGATCTGAACCATCGGAACGAGAAGCTGCTAAGACTGGTCAGGATTGGGACTAGGAAACAAAATTATTCCATTCAAGAAAAATGAGCAAAAAAGAAGTAATCACCGACTAAAACAAAAAACAAAAAATGAGTATAGAAGTTTTTTGTATGTAATATGAATCAAGTATGAAATAGTTTTTTCTAGATCTCCACGAGTGTAGGAATAAAAAAGCCTTAACTCGGACGTGATTTATCAATTGGAGAGCTTTCTTCGTTAGGTTTTTTTTATTATGATCTTTTACTTTTTGGTTGTTGTTTTGTTTTTTGTTGTGCTTGTTGTACAGCAATTAAAATTCCATTTGACGATCTTGCTTGATCAATACGAATCGATAATTCATCAAGTACAACCTTTAGTAATGAAACCGAATCATTTTCAATAAATGAAAATAAAACAACAAAAATTTCTTTTTATTTTTACTTTTAAATCAGGTTTAGTTCCTAAATTTTTTTTCGCATTATTAAGAATCGTTAAAAATGATTCATAAACACCATCTTCAACTAATTTATCTGCATAATAATTATAATGATCAAGTAAACCTTTTAATGATCGTTCATTATATGTTAATTTTGACATGATATAAGCAAGATCACGCCATAAACGAGGATTATTACTAAATAAAAAGAAAAAGAAAAAAAATAATAATAAACTAAATTTAATGAAAAAAATTTTTTTTTTTTTACTCAGCCAGATGAAATCGTTGCATTAATTTTTCTGATAAACTTTCTGTTTGTTTTTCTTTACTAACATATTTAAATAAAAATTCCATAATACATTTAAAATCATCTTCATCTAATTGCCGTTCTTTATCTAATCCACCACCGACTAAATTCGAAAAAATATCTGGTAAAATATTAAATAATGCTTCGCCATGTTGTCGTTTAGCTAGTTCACTAAAAAATGATGTAGCTAATGTAGCGATTTGAGGATGTTTATCAATAATACATAATGCTATTTCACTTATTTGACCTTTTGGCTAAACAAAAAAAAAAACAATTATATAATCATATAATTTTTTTTTAATTTATATATATGAATATGTTAAACTAACTTTAACCATTTCTTTGAGAATTAAATTTGAAATTGTTTTTAATGCTGCTAAACGTACATTATCTGATCGATCACGTAAACAACCATAAACATCATTTGAATAAGCAGCAAATGCTAATGGATATCTTATAAAGAAAAATTTTTTTTTTTTTTTGAAAATAAAATTCTTTCTTAAGTAGTTTACTTTAAATAAAAATCATTCATTAAAACCATAATAGCAACACGAACACTTTCGAATGTTGAATTTTTTAATAAATCAAATAACATTTTGGCATGTGTTTCACATAGTTCAACTGATAATAACATAAATTTACATAAACAAATCGTAGCACTTAATTGTAATGCTTCTTCATGATATTCGTTTGGATGAAGAAGAATCTTGAAAAGAAAAACAAGAAAGTTTTGAATAACATCAATCTTTACAAGTTTCAATTAGATTAGACGAAGATTGATTTTCTCATGATATTTGAGCTATGTTTCACTTTTGAATATTGACTTCCTTTAAATACGAAATCTTCAGAAAAGCATCATGTGTTGCTAGAAATAGGCAGTTCTTTACTCTTTATATTACAGCCTATTGAAAATAATACATAACGTTTGAAGGTTACATCTCGTCAATTAACAACAAGTTTTCTTTTTCAAGAAGTTAATGCTATTTTTTTTTATGGACACTTATATGGTTAATAATAATACATTCCCACGTCGTATGTTTGCATGCTTGACCGACGAATAATACGACCAATAGAGCACACATTACACCGAACGGTGTACCAGTGGTTTTTCTTCAGTTGTATGCTATTTCAGTATATGAAACAGAAGAGGTATACGATCATTGATAAAGAACGTTCATGAAGAAGGATCAACAAAAACTAGACATTTTCGAACAGACGAGTAGGATCTACCCATTTGCGGTCACATCTGTACAAGGAAATTATTATCTACATCAAAACATTTTAATGTAGAAAATTAGCTAATAAATTTCGTATTGATAAGAAGTTCTTGCACAGATTGCATGGTTGGTTTCTTAACATAGAAGAATCCATACACATAACAAATCGCTTACCACAAGTCATGATGGAGTTGTCGAAGATA